TACAATCGTCAACCTGAGAAGGGTTGTAGGCGTACTGGTGTAAGTCCTGCAATTCTTCAAAGGAATTCCACTAAGACATCATCGGCGAGGTTGTTCGTACTATTTGTATATACGTGTGGTGTGTCATATCAATTGGTGTTTTTTGGATTCATTGTGTTTACTTGTTGTTTTCGTATCTTGTTTTTGTTGCATAATTTTGCTAAAATTTTCGTCGTGATTACTTCTGAAGTTGTTTCGAGTCTTCTACATCCATGAATGAATTGATTGATGTTAAGGACAGCAGATGGGTCGTATACGCCGGGGAGGCTAGGCTATTGCTGAGAATGAAATGCACACGGAGATAATTGTTAGCTGCGGTCCGACACGCCGGGGAGAAAGAGTGTAAACGACTGAGGCTTGCATGCGTCACCGCTACTAGAACTGAGGCAGAATGAGTGACAAGCGATTTCAGTGGTAATTGGTAGTGAGTAGATAAGAGGATGTGCGTAGAGTATCATGAGTTGGTGCTATGGTCACGTTGCATTCTGCAAGAGTCATTCTAGCAAGTGGCGATTGTGTTGCAAGATGTCAAGAGGAGGTCTCTGTCTGGAGGCGCAGGTCGTCAGCGATGTGTGAGATTGTGCTGTGGGTATGCTTGTGGTGTGTTGGCTCTTCTGTTTGTTTTCCATTTCAGCTCTGTCCGTGTGACCCAGGTTCTCGCAATGGCATCCAAGTCAACGTGCATTGGTCGTGAAGGAAAAAAGGGTTGGATCCCTTTTTTGCCGGGGAGTGTCAATGGAGTTGAAGATTGAACGATCAATTCTTGGTTGTTTGCTTAAAATCAACTTCCCCAATTTTCGCGGAGGCATCAATACGACAGTCATCGTCTCATCGGTCGCTGTTCAGAAAGAAGTCAGTAGCAAACCATCAGAAGTAATATTGTGATTTATTATTGTAATATTTGTTCACAGACCTTAGTTCAGTTATTATTTTATATGTTGGTGTAACAATAAAGAAATCTCAAGCGGCCAATCGGTGTTTTGGTTTTTTCGTCCGTTATAACTAAGCGTTTCTGAAAACTTCAAGGAACAGCGTGGGCCCGAGCGTAGCAAGAGCTGGGCGTTAACGGTTTATGAGACGTGATTGACGCGTATACTTTCGTTCCAAAACGTCTCCACTTCCTTCTTGTGTATATCTTGTAGATGTTCTTTCAAGGATTTATTATCCATAATTGTATTTTATGCCATTTTTTAGTTTCGCAGGACGTTTTGCTTTTCGTGAAATAACTTTCGATCGCGTGGCGGCTGAGCAATTACCGAAATTTACGCTGTTCGCTGGTTAACCGTGACCATCAGCAGTAAACGGAACGAAGTTTGAGTTGTCGCTCAACTTTGAAGTGGTTACAATTTAACATTTACAAGAAACTGTTCTGATTGATTGTGCAGTAGTCGATCAATTTGGACTTTTGAAAAGTATTAATTTATGATACTTCAAGATTGCAATGTATAACATAACTGATGGTGGCCGTCAAAATTGGCATGCATTTCTTGTAAACTTACCCGTTTATACGAAATATAAATTATTATTAATATGCTTGCTTTTTCTACACTGGCTCGTGGATAGGATTTCGGGTTCTGAAACGATGTGCACCTGGAGTCCAAAGAGTAAGTACTCTGCTCACAAAATTATTAGTAAGGTGGTCATCTGAGGAGCCTTGAAGTTCATTGAAAGATGTTAATATTGTGGAGAGGACAATATGAGGTGAAACATAACTATTTCATAGGTAGATTGGATTAAACCAGAAAAAGCTGTTAATACTGTGTGAGGCTCCATATTATGCATAAGTTATAGTGATTATTAATATGGTGGTGGAGAGTAGACTTAGAAAAAGCACTAAAACATCATATACTGTAGTCGCAAGGACTTCAGCCAGAAGGGGCTATAACCCGGGGACGTCAACCTTATTTCGCATACTGATTCTGAAGACCCTCATATATCTCTCCTGTTCTGTTACTGAGCCTACATCGCAACAGCCTAGCACTTAAAACAGCACAGGAAATAAAAGATGGACACGCCTGTATCCATTGGAAGCCGGTGCGTTATACAGCAAAACAAAAAAGAAACGCTCAAGACGTCACAAGGTCTCGAAAGCGTCATCTATAAAAGGGGACGAACGCCAAGCTTGTAGTGCTGTCGTTTCTAAAACTGATTCTCAATGCAATTTTTGCGAATGATGAACACAGTGCCGTTGTAACAAAGGGGTGCCAAAGCCATACCATGAGTTTATGCGAAATAACCCGTGCCCATGGTTCTGGTATATCTGCACACTTTGTCGCCCTGGCGCAGTCTCACACAGCGTATCCCCAGATGGCAGAAACAGCACGCCACTTTTGTCTCGAAGCAGTCTCATGCAACCCTCCAACCAATAACATCACACCACCAATACTTGGTAAAAGCCGTAGGAAAGATACCCCAGCCCAACCGACTGGAAATACCAATCTTCAAAAAGTGAAGACTCCCAAGGCTACACCCAGAACATCAGATGAAGATGTAATTGCCAAAGCACCACTTGCATCCGCTGGCAAGCATGGTTACATATCAAAGACTGGTCAGAGCCTGGTGAAATCTAAAGTGGCTGACTCTAAAAAGGAGGACAAGCAGCCAGAAACCAAACCTAAATCTGAGGTCTGTCAGTCGGAATCTCTTGTCCTGTTTAATGTACCCGTGTGCATTAACAGTTTGCCTGAACAAAGGGCCGCGTTTGATCAAGAACAGTGGTCCAATTTGTGTAATAAATTGGGCCCGAACATCAATTCATCAAAACTGTACAGACTGTATGGGGGTGTCCAGACACCTCAGGGTAAGCCACCCACATTACACTGGGCCCTGCCGAAGAGGCTGAAAGAATACTGTTACCGGTTCAAGTATTAGCTGTCAACAGGAGTTCCAGCACAAGAGTGAGACGTGATAGGCCATAGGCTAACAGGGAAATAGTCAGGGAGTCACTGGAATTGGAGCCTTCTACCTCTATCATCATACACGGTGTTCCGGAGATGGAAACTGGCACTCTTGGCGAAAAACACATGCATAACCTACAGCGGTGGAGATGGCCGTCGTCTCAAATGGCCCTTGGTGCCTCTGTAGCAATCCAGATTTTCCGGCTATCTCATCCGGCTCATCTCACGCTAGTTAGTTCTCCAAGGCTGCTTAATGTCAGATTCAACTCCCAGGAACAGTTTGCCGTAGTAGTTCAAGGGTGGTTCAAGACCGGGGGTAAATTGGGAGGATATATCGGATGCTGCAAAAGCAGACCTCGAACCACAGGGAGGCAGCACAATGAGCCCTCAACACATCCTCAGGCCTCAGTGACGCTACAGGAGTGAGGTACTGATAATGATAGTCAGTGTCATCGAAGTATCCTACCCGAACCCAAAGAAAAAAGGCAACGGGGTGGTTCCGTCGGGATCGGCTAACTAGTCCCAATATTAAGCCCTCTACCAGCAGACAACGTAGCGTCAACTACCTCACAACACACTGAGGTTGTGAAACTCACTGTCAGCTGCCTTTATAGCAGTGTGGGAGGAGAACCCAGAAAACTTCAGTCACACCTAGGCCTTAAAAATAACGATCCTCACTGAAATCAGGCTAAACCTCAATATCGCCGACAACGAAAATGGTATAAGTGATATGGTTCTGGTCAGGAGAGACAGGTATTACAAAGAAGGGGGAGTTGTCGTGCAACAGACCCACCACTTACTGAATTCCCAGACTCCACATGGAGTCATTTCACCTTAGGCCGCACTAAAACTTACTGGGCGGCATCTGCCGATCACCCACCCGTGGGGCAGAGCACAACCAGCTACTGCTCAGCACCGTCACAAGGATACGGGACTTGAACTATAACCAAATCACCAAAGCTGGGGGTTTGAATGCCCCATCACTGAATCTTGGTCCGGGGTCTGCTTAGGGAAAATTCGATCGAAATCTACTGCGAACCATTAGAAATACAAGAGTGACTGAGAATGTTGGAGACGACACTAGGTGGGGCCCTGGTGTGAAGTCATCGAAACTGGATTACATTCTAACCAGAGACCAACTACTTGTCGAAAAGGTCCTGATCATGACTCTTTTCGGAAGTAGGGACCTCGCAGTCATAGGATCCGATCTTGTTCTCCGTAAGCACCTGTGGTTGGACGCCTGTGCCTGTACCATAACAACGTGGAATATGCTGAAATACGGGGTTTTTGTCCGATGTAGAATCGCTAAGAGAATGGGATGAGTTATCTGAGGATAAACACTGGAAGGTGGTAAAAAAATTATTCGCACAGTAATCTTAGATACCGTCCCTTTATTCACTACGCAGCCAAAAAGAAGGTCATCATGGCTGAAGAGAGGTACGCAGTGTATTTTGCAAGCAAAACGAAAGGCTTAGTTTACGTGGCGATTATCCAAGAATCAGACCAACCACGATGCATACTTGGAACTCAGGAATCGGTGCAACGTGAGAGCCTATCCTCTTAAAGTCCCATACACAATTCACGGGTAGACATTTAAACTCGTCATTTAATTTCTTTACATCCTCCCCTCTTACTCTCCTGACTACTCCAACTACTACACTTATAATAATTACTATCATTGATATTATATACATATATGCTTATTTATGTCTGTATATATCAACTTCACATATAATTAGCTGTCTTCTTTTTGTTCTCTTTCTTTATTTTTCTGTCTTTTAGTATGGTTAACATAAACTAATTATATCTGTTATTATTATCCATTTTCTTTTGACGACGAAATCGGAGGGCTAACTGGTGAAAGGACTAACTCCATTCACAGTAGCATCAAAGTCTCTACACACCACATACTAGAAACAACATATAATGAATCCCAGCATCATTTCTTTTGGAGTCAACCAAAGCTACGAAAGTCGAGTGGTAAGACGAACTACGCAAAAGCTTACCGAAGACCAGGAACTTTTACTTAAGAAGCGAGCACAGAGAAGTCAGATTGGTTTAAACCAGCTAGTGAAAACGATATTGGATATTGGATAGTAAGCGCACAGTTTCAAAATGGACAAAAAAATGGACAAAAAGTCGGATAAAATCGTACCTCGCAAGCAAATGGGAATTAGACAGGTTGTTTTCGGAAGTGTATTGATATTTTAGGCAAGAGAAGACTCAGACAGGCCATTTTTCCCTACTGGTAGAGATGGTAATATTATTCCAGGAACATACAAAACACCAGTTGGAGGTTAATCTAGAAATCGTTGTAACAATTTAATGACTTGTAGAGGTAAGAATTAAGAAGATAGAACCACCGAAAAGTTTTGATGTTATTTCTCTTGCCCGTTCGATGAATGAAGATTTTGCCGCAAAGACGAAACAACTTTTCAATCCAGAAGTAGAAGCTGTGAGAGAAGCTATTAGGACAGGTAATTGTTCATTCTGCCGACAATTTTAATTCAAGGGCAGGATATAAGTTTTTGACACATTTAAATAAAGTTCAAAATTGACTCAAAATTTTTTATTTGGGGATATTTTTTAAATAATTGTGATTAGGAATTTTTACGGGTTTCATCAGAGTTCCAATGTTTCACATGACATTGTGGCATCATATTTCTGCCACAAATAGCATGCGATAATTCAGTAATCTGTTTTACCCGAAAATGCATATTTCGACATATGGTTGAGTTAGTTCAGGAAAAAGCTGCAATTTAGTTATCCTAATAAGTAATTTGGAGGAAACTTTGGGGCACTTGGGGGAAACTCAGAGTCTTTTGGAGCTGTGTTATTTTTTAAGGAAGCTGGATGGTTGTGTTGTGGTTTTAAAAATTTGTATGCATTTCCTCAGAATGTTTACACTCATCTGTCCCAAAATTACCCCCAAATCTCATCAAATCTTTTCGAATACGTAGTTAGTTATTTGTAGTTACTTTAAGGAATTTGTACCAGTCGATTAAAATACATAGAAATGTCCCTGAACTTTCAAATGCTTCAATCAAGTGAATAAAACACGATCTTACTCGAATTTTCCAATTCCTAATGATTGTTTATTTAGCGGTCTTAACGACTATTATATGTGAAAACTTTGCGCAAAACCATATCACCAAGATCTTCCTGGTCAAGGAGAATAAATCTTTGCGAAGAGATAAACTCACGGCTGTCATCCTTCTTACGCATAAATCAGTCCTTCTGTCTCCCTAACTGTTTGAGGCGAATTCTCCTAGACTGTGTGCAAATTCTAAACTTTTAGTTCGGCTCATTCTTTTCGTTAGACATCGCGTTCATTTCGCCTTAGACGTGCGCGAAGGTTATTCTCAGTTATCATCAAAAAACGAACACATTTGATCCAAATATTAATCTGGTCAAATTTGATTCACTAGTGCACGGATATCTGCAAATAGTAGACTCTGTTGGCACTTAATTAGAAAACCATTTTAAACAGACTTTTGAAGGTTTTAAGGTCACATAATGAGCATCTGTAAAGATAATTGATGAAGTGGGTGACTAAATGAGAAAATTAAAAGAATTCTGGACATTTCACTTATTTTTCGTCATTTTTTCCTGTTATGCCTCACTGTATATACAGATTTTACAAGCTGCTTCATGGAAATCTTTCTTTACAGAAGTTCTAACTCTTAGTGAAGAAGTTGATCTTTAATTAGTAATACGATTAATTCATCTGCTTTAAATCACATCTACACAACATGTTATAAGACAGCTGATAATCTTTTAAACACTACAGTTCAGTTTCATGAACCTTTACTTACGTTAATATCAGTAGAATTTGCTGTAGTCTTCATGCCGACAGATGTTTGTCGGTAGAAAAAGTCGAAGCCAAGTTGTGGTATCACATGTATGACTTTTGTGCATAAGTTTATATTTAAGTCTTGTCGTTTTGAAGAAACTTGTAAATTGTTCTTAATACTTGAATTTTTAACGGAATGCATACTGAGATACTGACTGGTTTCAGCATAGAACTTTGCACCGATGTGCAGCAGTTCGAGTCGCCACACTTCACTTAGCACACAAAGCAAGGGAACAAAGTAAAAATAAACGCAAAATAGAGACTGCAAACAGAGATATGAGGCAAAAAGAATAGTAATAACGAAGAACAATATAGTTTTATTGGGTATTATAAGTCACAAGGAGTGGATGCATCTGCACTAACCACTGAGAACGATTTTGAGCCACATCAACAATTGTCTCCAAATATTGATGTTTACCATCTCAGTCAGTCACAAAGTCTACAACTTCCTACGTGGATTAAACTAACTGTTGTGGATTTCATTGACTGATGAAGCTCTTTTCCAGCCTGACCCATCCTATGTCAGCTAACATTGCCCGTGGAGTAAGGCGATGGGTAGACATGCGTAACACATGTCCTAATCATCTCAATCGATGTAACTTCACAGACTCGTCTATTGGTTTTCCCTTCTCACCTTACCTAGCACTCGACACTTAACCTCAATATTTCACACCCTATTATACCACTTCACACGGGAGATAGGACGCAGGCACCTATCATCAAAGACAACTGGCTAGCTAGGCTTTTCATGTCTTCCACTCTCAGTGGCCATGTAGAACTCACATGCAGCCATAAAGAAGGATGGAGAGGATTGCTGAGCAGTACACACTTCCTTTGTTGGATAGCCCGATATCATGTCTACGCCAGAGACGGCGTAAACTGGCATATGTGGAACTAGCCTTCTGTACCCGTGCTGAGATTTCGTCAGCAATGAACCTGAAGGCATGGGCTGATGCAATTTCCCGAATAAATGAAGTGGTTAACACGCTCTGCCACTTAACTGCCTATTTCTAATTTAGGAGTCAGTGTAGTCCAGTCCTGTAGCATCATCTTACATTTGGTGAGAGCGAATCGCATGTCAAACATTCGTAGATTCCAACCCAAGATACACATTTAAACCTTCCTCTGTAGTTGTGATGTAATCTCTGAACTGTATGGAGTTTGTAATTAATTTTTATTTTAGGCATACAGTTATGCATTTTAATTGAAGTTATTTCATAAGAGACTGAATAACCTGAGTTAATCACAAAGATTCCTTTTTCCTTACTAAAAAGAAGCCATTTACTCGACTGGGCTAAAACTTCATTGGTTTCTATATTTAAATCAGTAAGATTTATTAATTGTGTAAAAAGAAGTAGGTCAGAAGGAAACCAGACAGATTTTAGCATCTACCTTTAAAATGTCACGATTTATAACACGGAACTTTACAAAGAGCGCATTGGCTCACATCACCATATTTCAGAAAGACATACATGCAATGAACAAACATGGAGGCAACAGACAGAATAATTAACTCAAAACTAGTGAAGCTTTTCAGAATGTCAAAGATGACAACAAATGAACATATCTGTACCATTTTGAACGATTTTATACCATATCACCAACAGTTTTCAATGGTCTTTTCTTAACTTCATGAAGATCCTAGAAAGGTAGTCTGTATCTTTTTATATGGCACAGAGGGACGGAAAATAACTTCGTAGGCTGATGCTGTGCTTTGGCTTAATTACATCTTTTCCCCCTCCTTCTGGATCTTATTACAGCTGACCAAACTTCGGCATAGTACTTCTCGGTCAACGAAATCGAAGGCCGGTTTCGTGCCAAGAAGTATGACGATTGTTGGACGCCGGTCTGTATGCCCATGTTCCAGAATCTTTAGAAGGGGGAAAGGTATGATCAGTACACCATCTTCCTGGTCTAAAGCCTACCTAGTTCTCTTGTGTTTGTTCCTCCAGAGCACTACTTAATTTACGCATTATTATTGAGCCCAGGACTTTAGGCACCGTATTAGTCAAGCTAATCCCCCTGTGATTATCACAGGAAGACTTGTGTCTCTTGTATGTCGGGATAATCAATGACTTACACCGACCTGGCGGGACTTCCTCGGATTCCCAGACGCTGCCTAGTACCTTAGTTAGTGCAGACAGTAAACTGTATCCACCGTACTTAAATACCTCTGGAGTCACTCCATCAGGTCCTGCTGCTTTGCCTTGTTTCAGACTAGTAACAGCCTTAGGGACGGAGGACCTCTGTCTATATCCCATTGAAGGAGGTGTAGGATGTTCGGTAAGTTGAGTGTGGCTGTAGGCCTAATAAACTGCTCCTCTATATGTTCTTTCCAGCGTTCCAGTCGTCTATCTTGGGAGTTAATTTTGGTGCCATCTTTCTCCGAGATTGTTTCACTTATCATTTGCCTTTAACCACCTGTTTCCCTGACAAGTCTGAATAGTTGTCTGGTTTTACCACTCTCCGATGCCTTTTCTATCTCCTCCGCTTTTGTCGTACACCCCTGTTCATGGTCTTTGCGAAGGCCTCTTGTTAGTTTGCGTTTGGGTAGCTTTCGCTCCTCATCATAATCGGAACTCGCCTGAATCAGTCTTCTTGCATCAATCAGTTTGGGTGGAGTGGTAGAGATCCAATGGCTCTTACTAACTTTTGGTTTTAGGTAATTAACAGCTATGTCTACAGCTAACTGTAAGTTGTACCAGGCTAGCTCACTCAGGGGAAGTCTTGCTGTCGACCTCAGATACACTTTTCGCTATTTCCTTCTTAAAGAGGGACTCAGAGTCTCGATCTAGTTGGAGACGTAACTGCCTTGCTGTCAGAAGTTTTTATGTCCGCCTAGACTCAAGCGTTTTCTTTCCGGAGATGAACCAATTAACTACCTGTTGCTCAACAAATATGTAGGAGAAAATGGAGATTGATTGGGTAAATACTGAGGAGACTGTCCAATGATATCGCGTGCCAAGCAATTGCTCGAGTGGAAGGTGAATTAGAAACGACGATTTGGGCATTAGGTAGGGGGTGACATGGAGGACATCGTGTCAGGAGGAGACCAGAGACTATGAGCAATCATAGGACCGGCTAAAAAGGAGTGCAGAGAATAGGATAAAGTAAAGACGTGCTGTTGAAGCCCTATATTGCACTCAGAACTCAAAAGAACAATAAATAAAATAGTCAATGAAGAGAGGGAGAGAGAGAGTTAAAATGGGTCTTAAAGACTCTTATTTAGACTTCCTATCTCAAAACTATAAAAAACTAAATTCTTCTCCTTATGAACATATATATGTAACAAGTAAGGACAACTATTTACAAATCCAGTTTATTGATCATCTTTGTCCAGAAGGCAAAAGTACTCGCTTGTTAGAATGTCATACTATTGGCCACTATACTACTATTATTGCTATTGATTTTAGTCAGCTGCTTTATGGGGCAGATCATATATATTATTGTTAATTATTTTCATTCTTTATTATTAAGAAAGTAGGAAGCGTAAGGAGGATCTTTATTGGTGTGTGTGAACAATGAAATGAATTCATATCTATCATATCGATGTTTTAACAAAATACTCTTTCTTTCAGATTACACCTTTCAATATAAGAGCTGAAGTATTGAAAGTAATTCATG